AAAAACTGAAAACGGTTCCATTGGATTTTAATATTAATATTAATAATAATATTTTATTATTAAAATGAATATTTAATAACATTTTTGTTAATATTTACTATTAACAAATAAATTTGGTCCAAAAAATTAATCAATCAATCGTTTTGACCGAATCCGAATCTGAATTCGAAGCTCCGAAGCCGAGCCGAGCGACGACGACGGTGCGAGGCTCACCTTCTTCTCAACTCTTTAAGAGCTAGAAGAAGAGCAATTGCTTATATACCCATCAAAAACCTCTTTCTCTTCCAATATGGGACAATGTCCCTTTGTCAAGGGGGGAGGGAGGGGGGAGGGAGGGAGGGGGGGGGGGGGGAGAGGAACTTAAAATTTCACTTAAAAATTTTATTTCCTTCCATTTCCCATTCACCCTCTTTCAAGCCATATTAATGCTTAAAAATCCAACAATCACGAGATCGGTTTTATCCGTATACAACTATCAAGCTGTCAAGTTCAGAAGAAAGGCAAAAAATAGTTTAAGTGGGCACAAAATAAAAAGGTGCCAAGGTATTCTCTTTAATCATTCGGTACTCACAGTTCATAAAGCCATATGTTTTGTCCCAGTAAACTCAGTAAGGATGTAACACATATGTTTTGTGCCGAAAAAATTCTCTTTCTTAGAGCTGAAGACTATAGTTTACGATCGGTATATCTCAACCATCCACCACTCGATGGACTGAAAAGTTCAATAAACAACGCATATCATGTATCATGGGATGAATTTTCAGAACAACATGGACAGAAGGTGGTCAAAATATAAGGGTGGGTCAAAACTAGTAATATAAAAATTGATCTATCCGTAGAATGATGTAGTGTAAAGCAGTATGCAAGATTTAACAGAAAAAAGGACATTAGCTTTACCTTTTCGCACTAGCTAATCTTCATTGGTATGACTCGGGTTTCCCCTTCCAATGCACTACCATATGACTCGTTCTTTTCTTTAGAAAGAAGGTCGTCATTCTTAAAATGTTATACCAATATCAGACACAATTAAATTGGTATAACTTACTGTTTATCCAGTTTAGCAATTTCGATTTGTTTGGCTTGGGTAAAAAATTATATAACTTCTTTTTTGTCTCTAAGTGTTGGGGGATGGCGGAACCGAAAGTAATCATTAAAAATTATTACGAATTTGACAATATAAAGCAAAAAAAATATAAACAGAGAAATTATTTGTCAATGAAGTACACTTAGATGTGTAATTTGAGCCATGAACATAACTTCAAAGCATAGAAATCACCACAATCCTTCATCTCTTAAATTTGTTGTGAAATTGGCTCTTTAGTACGATTGTATGAACTATGAACATAATTAAGTCAGATAGAATAAAAATTCAAGCATACGAAGGATGATTGAGCGAATGTAACAATTTTTAAAGGAGAGAAAGTAAAAGAAAAATCTTGCAAATAAAGGGTGTGTTTGGTATAACGGAAAATGTTTTCCGACTCTTAACTTTGGAACTCGTAACATTTCGAACCTGTAAACTAAAAATATATACAAAAAAAGATTGTATGTGTGTGTGGGGGGGGGGGGGGGTAGGGGAAGGGGGTTGAGGTGAGTGGGTGATGTAGAAAAACGAAAAACAAAAAAAGAGAATTGGTAAAACAAAATAAAAAATTGGCGGGGGGGGGGGGGGGGTTAGTCGTCAGAAAAACAAAAAATAGAAAATTGAAAATACTAAAAAAAAAAAAAACATATATTTTTTGCGGCGGCGGTGGGGGTAGAAAAAAAAAAACAGAAAACTAAAAATACATAAAACAAAATAATTTTTTGATGGGGGAGGGGGGGTGACGGGGTTGGAGTGGGTGAGTGGCGCAGAAACGAAAACAATAGAAAATTGAAGTTGGAGGGGGTTGAGGTTATATGTGAGGGTAGCTGGAGTTTTTGTAAAATATTTTCCTAACTTTTTCTAGAAAAATATTTTCAAAACTATTTTGTGCAACCAAATAGTGGAAAATGGGAAAAACCAAATACACCCAAAGACAACAAAATTTAGGCCTTCTATATTATACTCCCTCCGGTCCACAATAAGTGACCAATTTGCTTTTTTATTTTGGTTCAAAATAAGTGTCCATTTATATAATCAAGAAAAAATTCAATTTTTTTTTACAAAATTACCCTTATGTACATATCCCTAAAATATTTTCTTACTCCTCATATTAAATATTTAATTAAGGGTAGTTTAGTCATACTAGGTATTTTTATATAGAATTTAGTATTTTCTTAATGGGGGTGCTAAAAGCAAATTGACCACTTATTATGAACCGGAGGGAGTAATATAAAATAGGCAAAATAGCCTAGTAAATACTTGTACTTATTCACGTTTGTCATCCCGGTCCCTATATTTAACGAAGTTTCATTTAGACACTTATCATTGTTCAAAATCACTATTTTAAACCCCTTTGACCATTGACCGAGCATATGTGGCAACTTTATTACTGAGGTGTACAAAACGCGTATATTTCACGCGTACAAGGAGCGTGAATATAAATTTTTAGAATAAAAATGATTAAAATAAAAACGAAAAAAACAAAAGAAATTAAAAAAATATACTGTAAGTTTACCCACTCCCTCCCCTATTATTTTTTTCTTTATTCCTCTCCTTCCCGTCTTCAACCCAGCCAATCCCCCATTTAATTTCTTTCTCTTTTTCTTCCCTTCTTCTTCCCCAGCCTTTGCTCCATTTCTTTTTTCTTCCCTTCTCGTTCTTTCCTCAGCCCCTTCCCCATTTATTTTTCTTTTTCTTTTCAAAATAGCTTATGTATCTGATTTCCACCATTATTTTTTGCTTTGTCAATATTTGTTTTCAGTATAAAATCGTGCAATTTGATTGATAGAAATATTTATTTTTTATTATGTTTGTACGGTTGTTGTTATGTATGGATAAAATTAAATTTACCCAAATCTGATGGGGTGTAATATTAGGAATCCTTTTCTGAAAGCGAGATTTAATGGAGGAGGGACAGGATTTGAAGCTAGTGAAATCGTGAAGATGGATAGGAAGTGTTGAGTGAAGGAATAGATGCTTCTTCCATGGATCGCGAATCTCTGCCGCTTACCGCCCCCATGGACACTTCCGAACGCCACAGAAATCTCAATGAAAACTACTGCTGTTGTTCTGTTCTATACCTATCAGTCAACATATTTAGTTCTAATATTATAATAATAAAAGGCAGAATGGCCTAAATGGCACCTATACTTGTCCCACTTTGTCATGCCGGTCCTCCTACTTCACTTGTTTTCATCCAGACACTTTAACTTGATTAAAGCCTATACTTTAAACCCCTTTGACCGTTGACCAGTCACATGTGGCAACAAAATAGTTGAGCTGGACAAAGTGGGTGTAATTCACGCGGACAACGAGCGTGCATATGAAGAATTTGGACAAGAAATAATTAAAATAAGAAGAAAAAAATCATTAAAACAAAAATGAGAAATAAATTAAAAAGATAAAGATAAAATAAGTCAAAAAAGAAAAAAGCAAAAGAGATATTGTCTCTTTCAGTTCTTTCCCGCAAGCCCACCCCCATTTGATTTCTTTTCCTATTAACTCCCTATGCTTCTTCTTCTACTTCTTCCCCACTCCCTCCTTCGAAAAATAAGCCAATCCCTGAAATTCCCTTAAACATCTCTGTATACCTATGGTGTCATTTTTTACCACTCTTGAATCCTGAACAAGTCAAAAATATACTAAAGGGGCAGCGGGTATCAATATACTAAAAGGATAACGGGTATTAATTTTCGAGCTGGACGAATAATGGACCATCGAACTTCTTCTCCGCCTCCTAACGCCTTCAGCCATGGAAATGGACCATCGAACTTCTTCTCTCACTTTTCGATCTGGAAAAAAAATTAATTTTACCTCGGTTTCTTTCTTTGTTCATTTTAATTTTATTTCTACAATATAAAAAGGAAAGAATTGGAAGGGGAAAGGAGGAAGAACATGAAAAGAGAGAGAAGCGAGATGGGCAGGAGGAAGAACGTGAGGGGAGAGAGAGAGAAATCAATGAGGGAGGGGATTAGGGAATTAATGTTATAATTTTATTTTTATTTTTATTTTTTATTTCTGATTTTAATTATTTTAACCTACCATATGACATGGCATCTACACATTGTTATTTTTTGACGTGGCAGCCAACGTGGAGGAGATTGTATTACACGCACTGGCAGCCTCCTGTCATAAGCGTTTACTATACACGGTTTGAAGGAGTGTAAGTGTTCAATTGGCAAATTGTCAAGTTTGGGGACCGGCATGACAAAGTGGCACAAGAATAGGCGCCATTTAGGCTATTCTGCCAATAATAAAATATTGATGAAGTAAGCCTTGTGAATTAAAGGATACATCTTATCTTGGTGGGTGGTTGCTTAATCAAGTTTGTAGAGACTTAATTAGGACAGAAGAATCGAGTGGTATGTCATTCCTACTCAATTTAATAATTCCACCATAACTGCCTTGATGAACGCCGACAGATTTAGGTAGTGCTGGAAGAAGGTTTTTTTATAGAGGAACTGGAAATGGGAGTGTTCATGGTGTTCACCAGATCTAGTGGCATGACAGTGAGGGAGAAGGTGATGGTATTATTTCTTTTTCATGTAAAATTAAAAAAAAAAGGTGATGTGGCATATTTTATATGACGTGGATTCTAACATTATGTGATTGAGAGACACGCGATGTCGAAGGGGTTTAAAATATTGACTTTGAACAACTATAAGTGTCTCGATGAAACTTTGTTGAATATAAGGAGCATCATGACAAAGTGGCACAAGTATAAGTGCTATTTAGGCCATTCTGCCTATAAAATATAATTTAGTTTGTATATTTTATAATAGTATAATCATTGAGTATTTATTTTTTTAAAATATCGACTACCTTATGGAGTACGATTTTTTTTACAACCTAATTTATTGATTATGAATTCGTGATTTTAAACTATAACTTGTGCTTAGCGAATGTTCCTAAAATCTTTGAGACAAGTGATCTTTTCGTGACCTGGAAAGAAAAGGGGAGAGCCTGTTCTTCTTAATCCACTTTACCTCTCCATCTATTCCTCTGCAATGCTCTATCGCTTCATCTCAAAATCTTCACACCTCCTATTGCTAACCCTAGTTTCCTCCAAAACCCACTTCTTAAACCCTAATACCTTTCCCCCTAAATCCTCATTTTCCATTCCCAAGCGTAATTTCTTTCCCAGGAACTCCTTCTTCTTCTCCACAGGTAACAACAACAGCAATGGCAAAGATTCAGACCCTTTATATACTTGGAAGCTCTCTTCTGAAACCGATAAATCAGTGTTCAATGGAGATTCAGCAAGTGTTGAGGGAACAGAAAGACGGGTTTTTGATGGTGGGTTTTGGTCTAAAGAACTTAAAGGTACAAACTTTTTCAGTGAGAAGTCTAGATTTCATCTCAAAACACTGTAAAAATGCATGCTTTATGTGTTGTTTGTAGGGTTTATGTTTAATTTGCTTAAGGTCTTATACTCTTATTTATTGAATAACGTATTAGTAGAAATACATTGTCATGCTTTCTGAAAATAAGTTTGGAGTGTAAAGATAGTGGGGAAATAAACACTGTTATCTGTAGCTGCAAATTGCTGTCTGTTTATTTTGAATGCTTAAAAGTGTTCCTGATAAAAGAAGAGAAGGCTGGAAAGTGTTACCAAGGTAGGCTGCTGGCCTATTACGTTCGGAACATGCTATTATTATGTATTCTGTTTAGCTTAACCAAGAAGATTTCTTGTCCCCAAGTTAAAGAGTTTGAGAAAGCATATTTATGGGTAAGTTAAACTCGATATCATTCGGCATGATCTTCTAAACCATTAGCTAAAACAAAACAGAAAAAAAAGATATCATTCTGCATGATCTGGGCCTTTCATAGTCGAAACAACAGTACATGAAGTTAAATTGTAGATGGCTATATTTCAAAGAGTGTAAATGCTATTGGCTAAAACCTTATTGTCTAAGTGAAAATAATACATTATGCACTTTTTGTGTGACTACCCGTGTTTATCTCCACTGTGGCTACCCAAGCAGCAGTAGGATGAAGGAATAAAAGAAAGATTTTTGAGTAAACAGTTCTAAGTTTGAACCCTTAACGCTCCAGAGATTACTCAAGTCCCAAACTTTTCTGCCTCAGCCTCTCAATAGCTAAAAGTCTAAACTCTTCTCGTAACCTCTTTCGTTCATGGTGTATTCTCCAGTCACATTCAATTCTCATTATCCCTTCTTCAGACGCTTCCAATTCAGTTTAGTAGTAGAAGAGTGCTGTTTTATTTAGAACCACCTAAGGGTTTTCTTTTTCCATCTGGATTTCCTTCTAAACAGAATCTTGATCCAGCCTTTATGCAAAAAACCTTCTTTTATAATATCCCATATGGATATTTTCCAAGTTGCCAAGTTAATTAATACCCAATTTGTAGGAAAGAATCTTTGATATCAATGCACATATGTATGCAGTATTCGCAATCAAGGTGCTTAGCTTCTTGTTGTTTTTTCATTTATTTAGGCCATCATTGTGGATCCCTCATTAGAGGTGTTTGTGTACAACCTTCCGACTCGACTATGTTTTTCGTGATGATGATAAGTTTGAGAATGTGGCAGGTTCTTGTACTGATGAATTGACAATCAAAAAGAGTGGACTTAGTAAGCCTTCGGTAAGTGTGTATTCAGAAAAAACTTTGGAAATAATTGAGATTCTCAAGGGTGGTGGGGAAGACTTGACGCGCAGGTTAAGTTTGGTGGCTCCAAAACTATCATTCAAGCTCATCATTGAGATTTTTGAGCGTGTGAATGAACACAGAATATCTGGATTAAAGTTCTTTAATTGGCTTCGAGACTCGTATCCTGAATTTTATCGTAGTGCTTATGTCAATAGTCTGATTATATGTAATTGTGGATGGTTAGATGACTATAAAACAATGCTCTCTTTGTTGGTAGAGTTTAAGGCAGAAGAAATTTGTTTAACTGATAAGGCTTTTGGGTTCTTAACTTTGTGTGGATCGAGTAAGGATTCATTGATGAATTCTACAAGGAAAGTGGTTGATATGCTAAATGAGGTTGGAGGATCCTGTCGTGGTTCTGGTGTTTATGGATTAATCGAGATGTTCTGTTGCTTGGACTTGTTCGATATGGCAACATTTGTAATAGAGATCACTGAAAGAACAGCTTCTCACTACAATATTTTGATCCGTAAAAGGTGTAAGGCAGGTCACATTGAAGAAGCACGCGCTATTATCAACGAGATGTTTGAATATGGTTGTTCTCCTAACACCAATTCATATAACTACCTGCTTGGCACATTGTGTAAGAATGATAAGATGGAAGATGTGTCTATTGTGCTTGAAGAAATGAGAAATAAGGGTCTCAATCTAGATGCAATAACTTATGAAACTCTAGTATATCATTCATCTAGCCGTGGTCGGGTTGACATTGCCTCCGAATTTTTGAAGTTGATGGTAAATGAGAATGTGGAACCTCGTTCTACTACTCATGCTGCCTATCTTAAGGTTTTTCTTGAGGCGGGAGAGCGGGAGAAAGCATATAAGTATGTGATTGACATGAGCGCCAAATATAACCACTGCGTCAATGTACTATACAGCTTGCTGGTGAGGCTTCATCAGAAGAAAGGAGATCTTATGGCTGCTCAAAACATTCTTAATGAAATGATTGACAAGGGTCTCAAGCCGGACTTTGGAGTTTTCATTGAAATTGTAAAGCAACTCCAGAAGACGGGCAGGAAATCTATATCTCGAGATCTTAAGACCAAATACTCAGTTTTCTATTGTAGTGACATACAAAAAGCTAGCGATTCTTCATCTAATTCTTCTGTCCCATGCCAAGGTTGAATGCATCTCTCTAGCTGGTTTGTCTATGGAAGAAAGGGCAGGAGTGTGCATCATACAGTTTTAACCAAAAAGCTCTCAAAGAAAATTTTCAGTTGTCTCAGCTTGCAACTTAGATCCTCTCAGCCTTTCAGTTTGCTCTCACCTTCAACTTCCGTTGCAGTTGCTGTTGACATTGCCTCGCCTCTCGTCAGCCTCCACCAATGTCACCTATGTTACACCTCCCAAGGTTTGATTCTCTTTATCCTCTGCTTCAGCTCCCTGTTTTTTTTTGTGTGGTTATTTTCAGTTTAGTATCTATATTGTGCAGTCTGTGATTCTAAAGTATTTTCCTTCACCTTCATGGCTCTGTGGTTTCCACTTTCCACTCTCTTACTCACCGGGTGTCTGCAGTTTACATGCATCGATGATCTTCTAAAGCCAATAAATCCATTCAATCACATAGAAATACAGAGGAAAGAGCAATGTCTCATGCCTAGCAATACGGCGAGTCAGGTCGTTTCTTGCAAAGGTGAATTCTTTGTCTCACTCTTTCATAAAATTTATAAACATTCTGCCTCTTCTTTTCTCTTTTTCTTCGGGGCTTGGGGCGGGGGTCGGGGGTGGGGGTTGTGCCTTATTATTATATGTATTGTCTTTAATCTCTATTCTCATTTTTCTGTATTTTCTTAAATTATACTGATCATGATTGCCTATGCTCATATGTAAGAGAAATTGGTTTAATTTGACTGGTCATTTGTAGTTTCTGACATGTAATACTTCTCTCTTATCTCGATTTTCCTCATTGTTTTTTGGCAACCTTGATTCTTAAATTCTGCGGTTTATAACTTATGAAAAGAAAGGTTTAGTTTTTATAATTCTTTGATTTAACTTATTAAAAGAAATATTTAACTCTTTAATGTCTTTTCTTTAATTTTCATTCTCAGAAGGTGGATGAATCGATGTAATATATCTGCGGAAAATTATCGTTGACCAAATCATCGACTCTTTTTTGAACAGAGGGAGTTGGTCATTGCCATTCTACATGGTAGGAATCTATGTTATTTGCATGCTTGGCTTTGGGAAAATGAATTTGAGCAAATGGGTTTGACTTTCTTTTTCTGAATCAGTTTTACATTGAGACTTGGTTTCATTGTTTTCCACTTTCATTTACTAGGTTGGGTAAATCTTGGGTGAACATGAATTACATGCTGCAGCTGTGGTTGCACGGTAGCCAGGAACCCATGGTTAATTGAAGAAGTAGAAGTTGCACCTCCCCAAAAAATGGAGGCTCACCTGAAGATTCTGTTCGCCTCCCTGTGCCACACTGTTATTACTTCTGGAAAGCAAAAGGTAAAGACAGTCCTATTGTAGGCTTATTCCTCTAATTCTGTGTAAGGATATATAAGTCAAATCCTTGTTCATATTGTTGCTGTCTTCTTGCAAGTAGTATAGCGCAGTGTTTCTGAGAGCGCGAAGCGCAAAAAAGCGACAGGGGCTCGCCTCGCTTCAAAAGCGAAGGGCAAAGCGAAGCGCACGCTTCATTAAAGTGAAGCGCAATTGTGAAAATACATATAATATATATAAAAATTAATTTATAAACCGAAATACACATTAAAAAAATCAAATATAT